GTGTGTGTGTGTGTGTGTGTGTGTGTGTGTGTGTGTGTGTGTGTGTGTGTGTGTGTGTGTGTGTGTGTGTGTGTGTGTGTGTGTGTGCGTGCGCGCATGTGTGCGTGTGTATGTGTGTATATGTATATGTATACACATACACACACACATATATACATATATGTATATATATATATATATATATATATATATATATATATATATATATATATATATACATATATATATATATTATAGTGCAATAATATCCTCATCAACATTATCATTGTTACTGAATAATGCTCATCAGGAAGGTGAGGTTGTTTATATATGACTCTGTCTCATAAATAGGGGAGGAGCCATAGGAAAGTCGGGCACAATAGCTTTTATTGGCAGAAATGAGGGCTTATGTTACATGTGTTAGGGTCTCTGATGATAAATGAAAAAAAAACAAAATAATAACTGAATTTATACTAAACCATACAGAGAAAATATTGAATAACAATAAAACAAAATAAAAATTTGCAGGCATAATGAACATCTGTATAAACTCTACTACTCATGAACATATTGATAAGGAAGTGACTGTAGTTATTATTTATCAGCAGGAAAGTTGTGATACTACACTAACTATAATATTCTAGAATCCTCTTCCTTAACTCCTTTACTAAACTATAATGTTACCTTAGAGAAGGAGAGGCAGGTGCAGTGCCATCAGAAGGGCCAATGGGTATTGGCACTCTCTTGTTCATCAGACGTCTCCTTCCCGACTGCCCACCTGCTGCGGCGCTTGCATTGAAAGCAAATTTGGGAGGATCATTCCAGGCTCGGTCATGGCTTCCTAGAATGGTATGAGGATGTAATCTATGTAAATAATTTTTTTTATAAGTGCTGCTTAAATCACTAAATCAAATTTATACTACTTTTACAGAAGGACAAATAAAATGTGAAAAAATATGGTTGTTACCCTAAAGGCCAAAGAGACTGATTGATTGAAGTTAGCTAACAACTCTTTAATAATTCTGAGAACAGATATTGTATATTTTTTCATGTCCTATCAAGGTTTTTGCATTATTGTATTTATTTTTCATTATTTCTTTGTTGTCATGACCAAAGTTATTACTTATAGATGGTACATGACAAATGTTTGTTTCATACAGAATTTACTGTATAAAATATAAATCACTAATCACTGACATCCCCCAAAAGGTCTTATTGGTGTAAAATCCTTATTCTTATAAATTTCAATCTTAAAAAAATTAAGTAATTATTCCTTTATAGTTGTTATACTGGTTAATAATATCTTTATTTTAACAATAACATAATCACACATTGCAATAAAGCACATTTTATCTAATCATTTTCATTCTAGCCCATAGAATGATTATTTTACATATAAAATCTATGAGAACAACCACTGTGCAAGTATTTCATTCCAATTAACTAGTAATGTTATATGTAACACAATGAGGAACATGCTTATTACATAAACAGAAGTCTCAATAAGCCATTTTGTTACATACCCTTGATGTTATTAAAAAGTGGCTCCTCTTTGGCTTCATAATCTAGTTGCTCAATCCAAAAATGGGTAGCAGGTATATTTTTGAACCACGTACTGGTGATAAGCACCATAAATAAATCATGCACACGTGTACAACCGCATGCACAACCGCACACGCATACACACACACATATTTAGATTTATCAACACACAGACCATCTTTAATTCCACTCATTCATTTTCGTATGTAATTGTTTTGGTTTCTTTTTATCTCCTTTAAGTGTATCACTCTTATTTTCCTTGTTATGAACAAACAATAAGAGGATTAACTTGCCTTTTCCTCATATCACGTGGCCATCGGAACAGATTCAGGCGTACTCAACCCTACTTCCATCTTTTTCCCCTCACTAACAGGATTATGCAATGGCATTGTTTCTCTATTGAATACCTTTTAAAAAATTCTTGTCTTTGAATGTAAACACTGAAATATACTCCTATTGATCATTCAGTGACAGAACTGATGAATAGAGCTGAAATGTAAGAACTAAAGGGCTTATCTACGCTGGATCTGACTTTTGTAGGTCTTCCCATATTCAAGGGAATCAGAAGAGTATCATATACATGGCTTCTGGTATAGTAACTTACTGTTAGATAATGTTGGATTATTTCACTTTTTAAATCTGATAAATAATATGACTCCTCTTATTCCTGCTTCTTTTTAAAAATATATATAAGATTCACAATATTTAACAGAAATCTATTAACCTTGTTATCTGTCGTCAGAAGAATGAGATTATGGGGTAAAACTCAATGAATCTTTATCATTCGATACAAACTAAACTATTTGTCTAAAAAAGTCTCTCCTTCCAGCCTTTTTTGCTGCTAAGTAAAATGAAAACCTATTAATTCAATATTACATATTCTCTTTCGTGCAAAATAAATTAAGAGCATCTCTCGATTATTTGACAATCTGTGCAGCATTTTTTTTCTCACCTATATGCCTTTTTTTAACCTTTGGGATATCAAGGAAAGACTGTAATCTGCATGCTTTTGATGCGTTTAGTGAGCAAGCAGAGTTACAGGAAAGTTATTCATTGATCATAGTGAAGACTTATGGGTGAGCTGCTAAAGACCTAGGGATCACATGATTAGATTTTAAACTTGAATCAGATCTGCATAAATTTCTACAATAAAATTAACAGATCACTACAAGTCCAATTGACTACTGATAATGGGTCTCCAACAATTTTTTTTGTTTTTTTTTGTTTCTGTGACAGGTTTGCATGCTCAGAATACTTTCTGGATGACTTTCTGTTCAACTCTAATAAAACCTGGAAACAAAAATGTATATAACATTTATCTTTAGTCTTCATCATGAAATATTCTAACTATATTAGGATATTCAACACTATCTATTAAAGAAATCTTTCCATAAAAAAAATGATATTTATATTTTTCCCTAGTAAGCTAGAAAGTTTACTCTTCTGGCTTGCTATGCTAAGCTTCATGATATTTGTCCCAATTTTTTGTTTCAATGCTGGTTAAAACTTATCCATTCTGACTGCACATTTTCTTTCGAAATCTGAAGGAATACAGCTGCAGGGCTTTGATTCAGAGGCCTGAAATTCTCGTAAAGTCACCAAACATCTACTTTTTTCCCCCCTAATCACAATCAATAAAGCACAAATATGAATCTGAAGGCTTTTATCTAAAAATATGAATAATTTGAAGTCTTCCTTGCAACAGTAAATCTCTCCCTTTTATACTGGCATTATATGATGTAAATTCAACTACTTTCAGACATTGCTGTGACTCCATCTCAAAATCAAGAATCATCAACCATTTATTTTCCATCCAAAACATTTTTTTCTGTGTAGGATAGATATTTAAGGGTCAATTATAAAGAGAAATGCAGTTGACATCAGAATAACAATTGAAAAAGTGAGCATATGAGGTACAGACAAGAACAAGAGACTGGCTAATAAAGGAAAAATTAAAAAAATATAAAAATGACAGAACATGTCAATGAATTAAAAATAAAAGGAAAGAAAACAATGAGAAAAGTCTATACTGATTTATGATATGGTTAGAAAGTTGTTTCTTATTGATAATGATAATGCAACTCTAACTTTACCTAATGCTTGATAGAAAGCTAGAAATATATTATAAAAAACAAAGACTGCTGTATCAACTGTATTAACTGCATTCATCATTGAGACTGAATACATAATGACAACCTGAAAATATTCCAAAAAGAATTATCATAAAAAATAACTATATCCTTCTAAAATTTGGACTGAAAGTAACACACATGCTAAAGTTAAATTTCGGTGATGGTTAAGATGGGGGGATCTGACCATGTCACTCCCCATAAGGGTAACAAGATATGAAATGGGGAGATTAACTGAGTCTAAGCTAAGGCACATTTCACTTAAAGTAATGCAGATGATAGATAATACAAGTCTACAAATTATAAACCGCTTGTAAGCCTCACAGGTGATTAATTAATGAATAAGAAACCAGAATGTGGGTGGTGGTAGTTTGGTTACCTCAGTTAGAGCGCTAAAAGCAATTCACCAGAGAAAAGTCGTAAATTAAAAGTAACTTTGAATTATTTTGTCTGTCTGTCTGTCTATCGTGTGTATTGCTTCCTCTCAATTTCTTTATTATAATCGAACTGCGGTTCCAAGACAACATGCTTTCATAAGTAAGTCTTTTCGGTACGATACATATGCAATACTTTATTATCGTAATGATTATGTACTGTCAACAGATATTGCAAGATAACTAAAAAAACAAAAACTCTATACAAAAATAATGGTAATTAATGAATAAAAAAAACACGTGTACCATATTCCGCTATCTCGCCTTTCAACCCGCATGAATTACGTGGTTTAACATGCATGTATTTCAAACATCATGACTTACCCGGACCAATGGGCTCCATGCTACACTTTCCTGCCGAATAAAAGGAGAGAAAGAGAGTAGTTGTCAAGTGTTTCCAGTTGTCAAGTGTTTCCAGTTGTCAAGCGTTTCCAGTTGTCAAGCGTTTCCAGTAGTTGTCAAGTGTTCTTTTAGGCGATCAGCTGACGCGATGTAAACATGTACGGAAATTGACGGGAGTTCAAATTCGCGATTTCTTATTTTGTGTTCATTTTTCAGTGAAACGCAGAAAAGGCTAATGTATATAATTTTAAAATAAAGTGTGATGAAATTGTGTAGTGGATCTTCTTCTATTTTATTCTTTAATTTGAAGGTTGTGTGTCAACGATGATGCAACGTCGAAATTAAAGGCTTCCAAATCCTCATTTGAGATAGGAGGCAGTTGTTAAATATAACAAAAGTCATTTATATATTTATTTCAGATTTGATAATCAAATACAACATTAATATTTAATGTATTACATCAAAGTATCTTAGAACTGAAAAAATGAATGAAGCGTCTTCTCCCAAAATACCTAAAGGAAAATAAGTACCAAATGCTCCCCCAGCGAAGGACCTGTCAGCCAGTGTTGTCTAAACCGCCGAGGAGGGAGAACGTGCTCGGCTTTTCTCTCCCATGTCTTTAACACTGTTCTCGCCAAAAATCACTTCCTCTTTAACATAAATACCCATAATGAGAAGGCATTAGATTACATTTATAGTTAGAAATAATGGAAAAAATCATGGCAAGAACCCTCCGTGAGAAAACGGTAGTGATACTGTTGTGTTTTGTTGGTCTGGTTTTTGCCAACAAATATCCCGTCACAGAGAAAG